GACAGAGAGACGCCTTAGGATTAACCATATTCAACACACGTTTTTTGTTGTTTTGTGTGAACACCGAGGCCATCGCCGGCGAGGGTGAGAAGAAGGATAAGCGGCAACAAAAATATGATGCCTCGCAAAAATAAAGGAGATGGACCTATTGTGGTCTTGAGTGATGGTTGTTGAGTTAAGAGTGTGTGTTATGTTTTCTCTCCCGTTGCAACGCATGGGCCCTTTTGCTAGTAGCACATAAGTTCCAACAAATGTCCTCACGTTTTTTTTTCTGCCAGGCTCATCCTTGATAGTACGCGACTTATTGCTAGTTACCGGTTTGATAAAAAAAAGAAAAAAAAGAGAGCAATAGAAAAAGGAAAAAAATACAAAAAAGATAAAAAAAGAAAAGAAAGTTGAAAAAAAAAGCCAGGCCGGCTAGCATCTAATTTGGACTGATTTGTTCTATTTGCTCTCAGACAGTAGTTTTGCTGCTACTTTGTCGCCACTGCGTCCATCATATATTTTCGAGCTTTGTAATACACTCATTTATACCTCACTTATATCTAGCTATTTAGAGCTATCATATTTTCCCTTGTTTCCACTCACTTGTTTCAGTATTTGGGCTTAGATTATTTTATCTCTTACTAGTCGACTGCCAGCACTAGTTAGGACTTTGAGCAATTATTCAACTTGCATTGTTTTTTGCTAAATTGTGCCACTGATATTGTGAGTTGAGAAGCCTTTGCCAAGCTACACTATTTCTACCAATAAGTACAGGTTCCGGTGCTATTGATTCATGGTTATCGCTCCATCCAATCTTCATCGGTAGTTTGAAGCCAACACACCAGCGCGTCGATCATCACCTGTTGCATTGGTAAGAATAAGTAAGAATTTGATACTAAGTTTGAGTGTGAGCGAATTTTGTCCACCACATCCTGTTAGTTGATAGGGATTATACATTGTTTTTTTTCTCTTTCGCTAACAATGGCATAGGATCAACCCACACTTGAGGGTCTCATTGCGGATGTGAAAGTCACCAGCGAGCGTCTCGCCCAACTTGAGGGTGCTCAGATTATGGCCGAAGAGAGGCTCAAGGCCATTGAGGATGCACAGGGTGTTGCGGACACACAACTACAAGACATCTTGTTACGTCTAGACGAGCTGCGGACTGCACTCCCCGTCAACAACAACAACGTTCCTCACAATTCCACATGTGTTGCCGCTACTTCGCGAGCTCGACGTGTGCCCATGGGTCATCCACAGCACCCCGCTACTGCCACCGATGCTGCCCCCATAAACCAACACCCACAAATTCCTCCTCGCGTCCACAAGCGACATGGGGACAACTACGAGGATTATTCTGGTGACACCGAGGACGACCAAATGGTCAACCACCACAACGACCGTGCTCATCAACAACTACGTTTCAACCGTCAAGGTATGGCACGAGGTCTACCCAGGTATGATGTTAGAGATTATGAACACTCTAGTGCCAAAATAAAATTTACTATTCCTGCTTTCAATGGTAAATATAATCCAGATGTTTATCTTGACTGGGAACTTTCAGTTGAACAAAAATTTGCATGTCATGATATTTCTGAGAACCAAAGAGTTAGGGCAGCCACTAGTGAATTTACAAACTTTGCTTCCATGTGGTGGAGTGAATATTGTCGTGTTAATGCAAATAATATACCTACTACTTGGGATGCTTTAAAACGGGCTATGCGACAACATTATGTTCCTTCATATTATGCTCGTGATAAACTAAATGAATTGTAACGTTTAAAACAAGGTAGTAGTTCTGTAGAGGAATATTATCAAGAATTGCAAATTCGCTTAGTACGATGTGGATTAGTTGAAACCGAAGATGCTATGATGGCAAGATTTTTAGGTGGTTTGAATCATGATATTCAGGATATATTGGACTATAAAGAGTACAATTCTATTACTCGTTTGTTTCATTTTGCTTGTAAAGCTGAAAGAAAAGTACAGGGACGACACAACAAGGGACGAGGTAACTTTTCTGCAGGTCGCCACTCATCATGGACACACTCTCCAACTATCCCATCCACTACCGAGGCAACACCACATATCTCGAACAGTGGTGCACTTCCAACAAGTTCAAAATCAGCTCCACCTCTGCGGCATCGAGAGCAATTTCTCAAGCACCCACCACTTCGTCTGGACGCACAAGAGACATGAAGTGTCATATATGCAAAGGTGGCAGGCACTTGATGAAGGATTGCCCGAAAAAACAAACGTTCATTGTGCGGGAAGACGGTGAGTACTCCTCTGCTAGTGATTTGGATGAAGATACACTCGTTATGCTTGCCACTAATAATGTAGGTGACATTAAGGAGCATGACACAGAGGAGATACATATTAATGCTGAGATGGCCGATCGGTACCCAAGTCTTGTAACCATGCGAGTACTTAGTGCCCAGGTGGGGCATACTGAGATGCCTCAACGCCATAATCTTTTTCAAACTAAGTTTGTTGTCAAAGGGCATTCCGTTCGTGTGATCATTGATGGTGGAAGCCGCAATAATTTGGCGAGTATAGAGATGGTCGAGAAACTTTGCCTCACCACTACGAGACACCCCCATCCATATTACATCCAATGGTTCAACGACTGTGGTAAGTTGAAGGTAACACGTCGTGTGAGGGTTCATTTTACACTTGGTTCATATCATGATTATGTTGATTGCGATGTCGTTCCTATGCAAGCTTGTTCTTTATTGTTAGGTCGACCTTGGCAATATGATAATAGTGTTATCCATCATGGTAGAACAAATTCATATAGTCTCATGTTCGAAGGAAAAAACCATTAACTTGCTTCCCATGACCCCTGATAAAATAGTAAATGATGAAAAAGCTAAACCAACGGATCGTATTACGCATAGTATGCTTGCTATCAATTCCCAAAAATTTCCGTTGAGTGCCCCAACTTATGATCTGGACAAACCGCATGCTCAACTAGTTCAGTTTCCTCCCCATAATTCATATATAGACTCTGTGTGGGATAAAATTTATCATGTTATTCATAACGGTGTTATTCCAAATTTCTCACATCAGCATGAGCTAACACATTCGAAAGAGAATATACATGTTGCATCTATTTTGGCTTTGCCCTGTGATGAGTTTCAGGTACACAAAAGTCGAGGATGACTTTGTTTTCAAGGAAGGGAGGATGATGTACATATGGTTACCTCGGATAAAATCATGATTGTTACATGTGGACATATTTTCCAGAACTAATAGAGAACTCTACAAGCCATGTGTTAAGATGAAGAAAGAGATCACCAGCCTTTTGAAACAATCAACAACAGCATTGTTTGCTTACAAGAAAAGGAAAGTATATATTCTGATGGGCCATGCAAGAGATGCAACGTGCATGCAAGGGGGTGGGCCCCGGACCAACATGACACATGCATGCAATTTAGTGCAAACCAGATGGGCTTCAGAAGGCCTCATGCCGTACAACTACAGAGATCGATCCACCGACGCTAGAATCAAGCGGCGGCTGCCCCGGTTTCTTTAATAAATAGCTAGGAATTACTAGGGTTAGACTGGGGATTTTGTTTGGAGAAGTTTAGCTATTGCTACTTTTATTTGTATTCGCTCGTAGCGGCTAGTGCGACCGTCAAGACATCTATCGAAACCCCAATTTGTGAGATCTATTCATCTAGCATATCCGCAATTTCAGATTGCTTGGCTATTATTTTCTTACATGTTCTTCGATTTGCTTGCAGGAAAAATCCTTCGTGGATAGGTCGATCGCGCCGTTGGCTCGGTCGATAACGCCGTGGAGTTGGTTCAGCGATTGCCGTGGATATCAGTCGTGTATGGTTCTCCCCGTACGGTTGGTAGCCGGATCGTGAGGGTCAAGTCCCACCCAAAATCGTAGTTATCTCCCTCTCATCGAAAGATCGGCCCCCAGTGCACATCAAGCTCCAATTAGAGGATCACCAACCAACGACCTGAATTTACTCTCCTTCCATTTGTTTTACTGCTACAAAACTAACCAGTACGAATTATCCTTTACTAATTATTGTGTGATTAGATTAGATGTTAACACTCACTGTACAAATAGTTATGTTGTAACTAGGCTAAATGATTCAGAAATCTTTAAATAATTTCAATCGATCATGTTATCAGAATATAAGAATTTCTTCTTACGTTTAGTTTGCAAAAAAAAAATTTATTTCCCTCTAAGTTTAATAACCTTCGTATTAACTTATACTCCCTCCGTTCCTAAATAGAAGCCTTTTTAGAAATTCCAACAAAGGATTAAATGGAGTAAAATGAGTAAATCTACAATCTAAAATATATTTATATACATCCATATATTGTAGTCCATTTAAAATCTTTAAAAGGACTTATATCTAGGAACGGAGGGAGTATGTATCATTTTTAATATGGCGAGTTTTTGTCTGCGTCCTAATCAAAATTTGACCCAATTTTTATCTTGTCTGAAAAGCAGGCAAAGTACTCGAGGCTGCTAAACAAGTTAACCTGTCAACCTGCTCTGACACGAACATTTGCGTGCCAAAAGATTGTTGTGCTAGCAGCATAGCATTTAACCGGGCATGAGGCAACACTGTTTGAGATCCTGTCCAATCATGTTCCCTCGCTTGTACAACACTGTTCTGCATATGTATATGCTACTTTCCAACTATAAGTGCACACCCTATAGACTGAAACACTACTTTAGCTACACATCACGATGCACCTACTGACGAATAGGATTTCGAGGACATATACTGCCAGGGACCAAACGTCCGCTTCCCCCCAAAGGGTCAATACTTGAGGTGAAGTGGAGCGTGTATGCTGGGGATCAACCGAAGTGGCTCCTTCCGGACTACCGATAAAGCACCGATTGATGTCTCGCTCATGTCGAGGTCTTTCGGCGCCATGCCGCCAGGAAGCGTCCAGTCAAAATAGAACAGGAGCTGAGCCAAGCAAAGCTCGACGCCGGCGAGCCCAAACTCTATCCCTGGGCACATTCTCCGGCCGGCACCGAACGGCAGGAACTCAAAGTCGCCCCCCTTGAAGTCGACGCTTGTGCCAAGGAATCTCCCGGGGCGGAACGCGTCAGCATCCTCCCAGTACCTCGGGTCCCTGCCCATGGCCCACGCGTTGATGACCACCCTGCTACCGGCCGGGATCGTGTAGCCACCGACACGGCACTGCTCCTTGCAGACCCTGGGGACTAGAAGAGGCGCCGGCATGTGCAGCCGCATCGTCTCCTTGACGACAAGCCGGAGGTAGCTGAGATGCCCGATGTCACACCAACTTGCCTCTCCTTCCATTTTTGTCCTCACCTCGTCCTGCAATTTGTCCATCTCCTTGGGGTTCTTCATCAATTCTGCGAGCGCCCACTCTATCGTTGACGACGATGTCTCTGTCCCCGCGGCAAACATATCCTGCAGCGTGTCCATTTCATCCCACTAGTTAGTTAGTTCTATGCAGAGCTAATCTACGGTTAATAATATTCATAGTGATGGCTAATCAGAATTAAAAAACCGGCGTACTATATATAGTGTTAGGGATATGTCAGATACCATTATGACAGCCTTGATGTTGTCGTGTGTGATGGGCACGTCCGTGGCTGCTGGATGCTCCATGGCATCGAGAAGCACATCTAGCATGTCCTCTGCTGTGTCCTTCATCTTCTTCTGCCGAAGCCGCTTGCGCTCCTCAATGATGTCTTCGAATAGTTTGTCTACCTGACGGTGCACCCGTCGAAGCCGGCTCCTCAACAGGACGTCGAGGAAGCTCAACGACGGGAAATGGTCTGACAGGTTAAACCCCGACGCCAGCTCCAGGCCCTTCTTTAAGATGGAGCCCCTGTGCTCGAACGTCTCGCTCAGCGCCGTCCTGCTCACGATGGCGCTGCTGAAAGCCTCGACCATAGCCCGGAGGTCAATGGCCTTGCCCGGACAGTGTCCGGCGATGCTCTCCAGGAGACGACGTGTCTCCTCCCTCCGTATGGGAGCGAAAGACCTGACCCGGTTCGCGGACAGGAGCTTGACGACGCACACCTTGCGCAGCCGGCGCCAGGTGGGACCGCCGGAGGAGAAGGCGACGTCGGCGCAGCCGTACAGCAGAACCTTGGGCCCGGCTAGCTCCGGGCGGTGGGCGAAGTTTGCGTCCTGCACCTTCATCACCTCCCTGGCCGCCTCGCGGGACGAGACCACGACGAGGCCGACCTGCCCCATCTGCAGGTGCATCACCGGGCCGTGCTCGCGGGCGAGGCGAGTGATGGCGTGGTGCGGGAGCTCGCCGGTGGCCAGGTGGTGAATGCTGCCGATCAGCGGGAGCTTGGACGGGCCCGGCGGGAGAGGCGCCTCGCCGGCTCTTGTGCTGGCCGACGTGGTGGAGCCAGCATTCTGGATCATCAAGACTATTGCTCGCACTACGCACACTACTGCAACAACGAGCGAGATTAACGGTAACATTTCCATGCTCGATCGTTGTACGTGCCAGATTACATGCTAGGGCTGCAACATTTATACTGATCTGATCGACCATGCTCGATGCACATTTCATGCATGTAAATGTCTAAGCTCGGGCAGCCGTGTAGACTCGTCATGCATGGTTGGAAAAAGCACGTATCATTTGTTCGCGGAGGTTTCGTCCTGCTTTTTTTGGTCTGCATGCATGCACAAGCGACTTCATCGTCGTCCGTGCCGTACGCTACTCCTTCTAGACGGCTTTGAATTGAATTATAGCTTTTGTTTTGCGAGCGAATTGAATTATAGCTGTTAACCATGCAATTAGGGGCTGCTGTTGACGGCATTTCTAACGCTGACCGAAAACCGAACATCGTATCCGTCTGCATATACTAATGTGAGAACCAGTCACGCAACCATTACCGCAAATGTCCGCCGCTATCAACATCTTCTGCGAAATATGCGTGACTCATTATGGTACTAATCCATGGTTAGTAGCTTTCGTTGAGCACGAAGAAAGGCTTCCGTCAAAACATGTGTGATTAGAGAGTAGCTTCCGCCAAAGGCCAAATACTTACATGCATGGATTAAAGTTTGCTTAGACAAAACACTTGCATGATTAAGTTTGCTTCCACCAAATACTTCCATGACTACTAAGAAAGAAAATGAAACAATGCATGCTAATTTATAGCTTCCGCAATGCAATGCTAATTAGTGTGCATGCTAATTAGGGCATCTCTAACAGCCGGGTGCCAGGATTTATTTCCTAGCCAAGCAGCGGTTATATCGCTAAATCCTGGCATCGGGTGCTCCGTGGGTGCAAAAGAAGGAGGCGGGCGCTAGGCCCTTTTGCTTCACGAGCTGCGCTGTTCCTGTCAGGGTATTAAAGCATCGGTGGTTAGCGTACGCATTGGAACAGAAGGCGCTTAGCGCTTTTATTCTTTTTGTTATTTGTTTTTTTCTGTTTAAGCATCCAGATAAGCGTCTTTCATTGTACATGCTCTTAGGGCATCTCCAACAGGAAACCCGAGCAGAGGGCGCTAGGAATTTTATCGAGTATTTAACCAAAAACTACCACAATTCGCGGAAACGTGACAGAAAACTAGCACTTTACGATTTTGTCCCGAAAACTACCATTTTTTTATTAATCCGTGACAAAAAACTACCAAGTGTGAAAACTGCTCGCTTTGCCTGGGTTAAACCCGAATCTGACAGCCCGATCCCACACATAAGCGGGCTAAAAATGCAATCGGGTCCCTGGTTTTTCTTAAAAAAAGCAATCCGGTCCCTTCGGGCCGACCGCTCCAGGCCCTCGCCGCCGCCGCCGCTCTCCGGCTCCCTTCGCCGCCTCGCCAAGCTCCTCCGCCAGGCCCCCTCGGTCCCGCACCGCCTCGCGCCCAAGCTCGAGCGGGAGGACCGCCAGGACGACGAGGAGACCAGCGGGTCTCCCCTGTACCGTGACTGGCCGCCGGTGCCCAAGCGGCGGATGACAGCCGTCTCGCTGTCGCCGCTGAGCTCCTCTGCGGAGCATCACCCCGGCGCTCCACACATCCACCTTCTCGCCGTACTCCCTCCCGGCCACCACCTCAGGCGCCACGTAGTACGGCGTGCCGACGAGCCCGGTCATCAGCCGCCCGTCCCCGAACCACCCCGCGGAACCGAAGTCGGCGAGCTTGAGCGCGCCGGTGGCGGCGTCGAAGAGGAGGTTGTCGGGCTTGACGTCGCGGTGCGCGATCCCGCGGCGGTGGCACGCGGCGAGCGCGGACGCTGCGCGGCCAGCCCCGCCGCCTCGCGCTCGGGGAGGCGGCCGCCACGGGCGGAGAGGAGCGAGAGGAGGTCCCCGCCGACGCAGAGGTCGACGACGAGATGCACGGCGTCCGCGTCGTCGAAGGCGGCGTGGAGCGCGACCGGGTGCAGGCTGCAGGGACTCGATTGCATTTTTGAGGAAAAACCAGGGACCCGATTGCATTTTTAGCCCGCTTATGTGTGGGGTCGGGCTGTCAGATTCGGGTTTAACCCATGCAAAGCGAGCAGTTTTCACACTTGATAGTTTTTTGTCACGGATTAATAAAAAAGTGGTAGTTTTCGGGACAAAATCGTAAAGTGGTAGTTTTCTGTCACGTTTCCGCGAATTGTGGTAGTTTTTAGTTAAATACTCGAATTTTATCCTGATAGGTCGGCGTTTACCATGTTAATTCCCAGCGCCTAGTCCGGCATCGATGCCAACCTGGGTAGTAATCTGTGGAAATTAGAGCATCTTCCATGACTCGCTCGGCTCTTTCTCCCTATACGAGATGGCTGGGCCTTGGTTTTAATATGTGGAAAGCCCGTTATTAGCGCTCGTATTAGCGCCTGCCATTGCAAGGGTTAGGCTGGTCACAATGGGCAAAAACATAAGCTAGTAACTTCACACTTCCCTAGACTATGTTACTACCTCCATAGTGGGTAGGAACATCTATGTAGTGTCATGCAACGATGTATTTATTAGGTTATAGACTCATTGTTTCTTGGAGTGTGTGATGTTCCGGTAACTTAGCTAGTTACCACAAGCACCTCTCTCTTCATTAAATACGTGCCACATAAGCAAAGTTGTATTGTAGTGTGTGATGTTACTCCTAAGTTTCTCCCCACTGTGACCAGCCTTAGCGCTACAGACTTTTTATCATTTTTTATGTTTATTTTTAATCGTTGTAAGCACCTCTGTAGGCGTCTAGCATTGAAAATTTGATTACAAATTAGTGTGCATGCTTTATTTGATTACAAATTTTATTTATATAGTATGGACTAGCTTGTGGTGTTGGGCTCGAACTATGCTATGAATTTAAATCTATCTGTTGTTTCATATTTTTCGTATGTGTTGCATCGTAGTACGGGCTGTTCGCGCGCGCTGGATTTTGCAGCGCCTGCTGGAGCTATAGCGGCGCGCATATTTTGTTGCGCAGGTTGGTGCAAACACCCTTCTATGCACTAAAAAACGCTATTTCAGTGTTGAATAAATAGTGCCGCGCAACCGCGCGCCTGTTGAAGATGCTCTGATTAGTAGCTTTTGTCAAACGCCGGTGCTAATTGCCAGTCTTTCGCCATCTGGACAAATAGAGAAGGGTGTGTGGCGGCATTAGATTGACCAAACAGATGTTCGAATTCCTGCAAAGTCTTCTTTGTTTGGTTCCAGTTTGCGGAGAAACGGACGTCCAAAACGCTCTGCGGACCGATAAGGCTGGGTACCGTGTTGGATGACAAACAACGTCCGGACAACACGTCTCGAATGGATGCGGGCAATTTAAGGGTCCGCTTTGAAGATGCCTTAACCACGCAAGCCATACACCAAACAAAACAACATAAAAAAAGAGAAAGCAGCAAAGCCCACCTTCTTCACTAGTGTTAAAAAAAATCTTACATTATATCGGCCACCGGCCACCCTAGCGGCTGCTAAGCCCGACCGAGCCATGACCGGTTAAATTACTCCCATCAAATTAAGTCTTTTTCTTTCGAGCACCCATCAAATTAAATTGTCGCTCTGCAGGAGCTAATTAAATTTGTAGACTAGATTCCAAGTCAGTCGTCCGAACTAATTCGGGAATATCGGCCAGCGGCCACCCTAGCGGCTGCTAAGGCCGATCGAAGCATGACCGGTTAAATTACTCCCATCAAATTAAGTCGTCGCTCTGCAGGAGCTAATCTGTTGGTGCGGTGGTCTAACTTCCATTAACATCGCGCTACACGTTAGCTTCGGGGCGTCCTGGACGGCGAAAGTCTACGGCATGTGTTTTGACTAATGGGTTCTGACCGACTGCTTGCCAGATCACTTCTGAGTGCGGTAGTCACACCCGCCACTACAGCTAGCATAATCCATCTGATAAATAGGGCATCGCCACAATAGGAGAGTTCTGGCATTTTCCATTGGAAGATAGCTAGCTTCCGCATCAATGGCGCACACCACCACTGCCAGTGCCACCCTTGGTTCGGGTGCGCTGTACAAGTTATTCATACTACTCTTTTGGTTACAAGGATCTCCTGCGGGAGCTACTGATATGATCACATCCACGCGGCCGCTCTCCGGGAAACAGAAGTTGGTTTCCCAGGGTGGCAAGTTCGCTCTGGGGTTTTACCAGCCAGGTAACCGACTTCATCTGTACCGCATTCCATGCATCTTCTTAATTACTCCCTCCGTCCTAAAATTCTTGTCTTAAATTTGTCTAAATACGGATATATCAAGTCACATTTTAGTATTAGGTACATCCGTCTCACAATATAAGACGTCACCAGCCAGATAACATCTTATATTGTGAGACGAAGGGAGTAGAACATATGCCAGTGGTTTGTCTTTATTTTTCCTTCTCTCTTCTGTTTTTTATTTTGTTTATGAGAAAAAAATATAACAGAAATTGTTCTGTTTTTCACAAACCTAATATTGCCCCTCAGTGAACATTTATGGAAGGTTTGTCTAGAAGGATATTAAAGAAGTTATATGCTACATGTAGTATTTCAAATTATATATGCGCGCTGCCGCTCTGCCCTTGTTTTGCAGTAAGCACATGTTGTGGGATCAAGATAGCACAATAATCCTTTTGTCAGGAAAAGGATTACCGTAGGCGTTCATTATTTATTTATTTATTCGTAGGGAGTAGGCATTCTTTTTTTAACTAAGAGAAAAGGTTATAAACATAATCCATCTACTATAGCAGATTAATCATCTAGTAATTAAAGTTATTGCAACAACCTTTTTTTACATTGTTTATACAACTTATGTGATACTAGGAGTCATGAAATGATTAAAATATATCTTTAAATATATTGTAGTTACTCATAGAATGTGTGCTACGTATGATACATATGCTACCGCATCTAGAATAAAGTATGTCTTTTTTGGAGAATTACATACCCCTCCGTTCCTAAATATAAGTCTTAGAGATTCCGATGCGGACTATATACGAAGCAAAATGAGTGAATCTACACTCTAAAATATTTCTATTTACATCCTTATGTAGTCCTTATTGCAATATCTAAAAAGACTTATATTTAGGAACGGAGGGAGTATAAGGTAATTTAAACCCAGTTTGAATTCAAAGAACTCAGTTCCTCAAATTCCTATGCTGGATTGAAATGGATTCCACAAGATTCCATTTCCACCTTTTTATTTGTATGTAAAGTGGAAACAGAAATTTTCATATCACAAATGTTACGTTCGGTCTCCTAAAAAATCCATAGGTTGATCAAAAGCATTTTAGCAAGAAAAATATACATACAAACAACTGAAATCCGCTGGTTATAGTCTTATCTACTATGTAGAGAAGCTAGGTGCTATATGCGCACGAGGGGCCATATTAGGTTTGTGTAAATCTTTGGTATTTACATTTTAACCTCACATTTCCACCATAAATTTGCATTAAATCAACTGATATTTTTTTAGATGAGTTGGTGCGTAAAGAAGACAATGTATGCGTATTGGTACTTTGGTTCCTCCATGAAACCCCCATAATAGCATATTCTGTGAAATCTCCCATGTACCTAGTAGGTGAATATGTCATTGTGGTTATGTTGTGGCTGCCCTTCATTTTATAGGGGTTAGGATACATATGTCTGGCCCCAACACTACTTTGCAGTACTACCTGCATTTCAAAACAAAAGATGTAGTTTGGCTGCCCAAACACATGCTTTGACCAAGATTTAGGCCAAAAAATGTAGTTTATTTTGTACAAATTAAACATAATTAGATTCGTATTTAAAGCCTTTTCATTCAATTATTTTTAGACGTTGACTAGATATTCTATGAGAGATTTATGGACAAAGCATGGATTTAGGCAGACAAACTAGGTCTTATATTTTGAGGCAGATAGAGTATCCTTGCACACTATCCACACATTAACTCCAAGTCTATTGCTATATTTCCTTGTAAAAAATAACCAAATGGCCTATAAGGTCAAGGTGAACTGGACTTGAGAATAATTGTGAAGCCAAAATGGATTCTTTGTACTTAAAATGTACTCTAAATAAGGAAATGGCCTGGTTTGATAGCTTTCTATCTCATCATTTCCGGTCTCTTTTCTTTAGAATTTATCTTCTCTACCATGACGCATGCAAAACAATATTGTAGGTGGTGGACCCCAAGACAAGTGGTATATTGCAATATGGTATAACAAGGTGCAAAAAGTTACTCCAGTGTGGATAGCCAATAGGGAAACACCCATCTCAGACCCGGACTCATCAGAGTTAACTGTCTGGACTGATGGCAACCTGGTTCTTCTCAACAAGTCTAGGTCTATATTTTGGTCTAGCAAGACCCCAACCACCACTGGAGCCTCCAACACCACCATTCTTGTTGTGCTCCTCAACACTGGTAATCTAGTTCTTACATATGCATCCAACACATCCAATATAATATGGCAAAGCTTCAATCACCCCACCGACACCCAGCTTCCTGGCATGAGTTTTGGGCGAAACAAGCTCACAGGCGTGAGTGACCGCCAGGTCTCATGGAGAAAGTATATGGACCCGTCTCCAGGCCTCTTCTCGGTCACAATGGACCCGAGCGTAGGAGCACAATACTTGCTCATATGGAACAACTCCCGACCTTATTACACCCCTGGGAAGTTCAATCCGCAAGCAGGTGCATTTAGCAGCATCCCGTCGATGACGGTGATGATGATGCCAAACTCGATATACTCATATGAGTATGTCGAAAATGACAAGGAGGAGTACTTCTTGCTCACAGTTAAGGACGATAACCTCTTCCTCCGCACTGTGATTGACCCATCTAGCCAATAGAAGGGAATGGTATGGTTAGAGGACAAGCAAGACTGGATGTTATACTTTGCGGTGCCCAGTGAGAAGTGCTCTGTCTACTCCATGTGCGGGGCTTTCAGTTGGTGCGCCGAAAACATCATCCCAATGTGTAGCTGCCTTAGGGGCTTCAGCGCACAGAGCCCAAATGAATGGAGCTCGGGAAATTACACGGGAGGTTGCACTAGGAATGTTGCATTGCCGTGTAGCTTAAATGGCGGAGGCTCGGTGCCATCAATGTATGGATATGAAGAGGATAGATTCTATGTGGCCAATAATGTGAGGTTACCTGATGGGTCACAGACTGTGCAAGCAACAAGCGCAACTGAGTGTGAGGTAGCATGCCTTAACAACTGTTCTTGCATGGCATACTCTTACAATGAGACTTGCTCTTTGTGGTACACTGATTTGATGAACCTACAAGAAAATCTTGATAACACAACTAATAGTATATTCATTCGACTTCCTGCTTCCGAGATACCACACACCAAATCTTCGAGAGGGAAACCATTAGGGATTTTTGTTGGAGGCTCAATACTCGCATTGGGTGTATGCCTTGTGGCTATTTTGTGTCTTCTTCATAAAAGAAGAAGGATCAAGGGTTTACATCAGATTGACATTAACATGATCACCTTTAGGTACAAAGATCTGCAATTGGTAACCAATAACTTTTTAGAAAAGCTAGGTGCTGGATCTTTCGGCTCCGTGTTCAAAGGAGTCCTTCAAGATGGCACAACTGTGGCGATTAAGAAGCTTGAAGGTGTTCGTCAAGGCGAGAAGCAGTTTCAGGCAGAGATGAGCACACTTGGAACTATTCACCATGTAAATTTGATCCAATTGATTGGGTTTTGCTCAGAAGGAGAGGATCGGATGCTCATTTACGAGTACATGCCACATGGCGCACTTGACCAAGACCTGTTTAGGGTTGGTCTTGGTGATGTTCTACCTTGGAACACAAGATACCAAATAGCCATTGGCATTACCAAAGGTTTAACTTACTTGCATGACAACTGCAGGAATTGCATCATCCATTGTGATATCAAGCCAGAAAACATATTATTGGATGCAACATTTTCCCCAAAAGTGGCAGATTTTGGACTGGCGAAGCTGCTAGGCCGGGACTTTAGCAGGGTCATCACGACAATGCGAGGAACCATCGGGTTTTTGGCACCTGAATGGATAAGTGGTACCGCCATCACCGCAAAAGCTGACGTGTTCAGCTACGGAATGATGCTCTTTGAGATCATCTCGCTGAAAAGAAATGTGGAGCATGAGAAGCGATGCGCAGACAAGTTCTTTCCGATACTAGTTGCAATGAAGATTCAAGAAGGAAATGTGCATGAATTGTTGGATGCTGATTTGAGAAGAGATGTCAACTTGGAGGAGCTCGACAGGGCTTGCATGGTTGCTTGTTGGTGCGTCCAACAAGATGAGCGCTCTAGGCCGACCATGGGAGTAATTGTACAGATATTGGAAGGCCTCGTGGAGGTTAATATGCCGCCAGTTCCACGATATCTTCAGTTTCTAGCTGAATCGGCGGACGAGTCGATGCTCTCATCAACCAAATAATCTGTCAAAAACTAGTATTATGTATTTTGTTTATTAGGAATTCATATGCATGCACGTGTTTCTTATGCACATGTATAAATGTTTTCCATAAAAAACATTTCATTATGTATTTATATTTGTGTGTTTACTCGAGTACTTGAGGTTGTAAGCTCACACATGTTTTTAGTTGTGATAAACCTATTTGAAGCATTCGACCTTGAAAAAAGTGTTGCCATTTGACGATATATTTCAAATGTATAGTTCGTTGAAATTTTAATATAATGTTTTGTCATCTTTGTGTGTGTTAATTTAAAGCTAGGCAAAAACGCCTCTCATCTATCTATATGTGAGAATGTTCATGAGACTCACAATGAATTGGATCATTACTCAACTTCGCGATGACAAAACCCTCCCTCGTCATTGTGCCAAGCTACCTAGTAGTGCTCCGCGAACACAACTACACATACATGAAGCATATATCATTCACGAATAGCCTACGTGGTTTGTGGCAGCAGCGCCGCGAAGTACGCATCTCTCTCTTTGGGCTATGTGTTGTGTGGTTGGACGAATTAAAAATTGACAGCATGGGGCCAGAGGTTGCCTCTCCACGGGCGACGGGAGAAGACAAGGGTCGAGAGTGAAGCAGAAAATTGAGCGGTGCCAGTAGGTACCGCCGTACCGGCACCTACCTACCCAGTCAGTCAATGACACCTCACATTGTATACATTCTCATGTTTTGTAAGATTTTGCTTATTTAAGAAAGATATGTTTTTCAGCGGTTGGCCCACCACTGTGTAACAGGAGCACATACTCATTCTCTCTCTTCTCCCGAACAATAAATCCAAACTTTTCTTTTCACTTGACTAATTTGAAACATCCATCTCTTTTAAATCGTATATTTGTCTTTAAATTTTTTATATATTTGAAATTATTATGCTAAAACCTTTAAAAGGGGACCAATCTTTGATATTTTTCAACCATGTTTAAATTTGAACATATATTTCACATGAACACACTGTTTCACACTGATGCGGTACAATTTCACTTTATGTAGTTATTATTTCACCAAACATACATTTCACTTTCATTGGCTTGTTTCACAAAACTAACATCTATTTCAGTTGCATATTTCTTAAATAACCTATTTGATTCTTTTGAAATAAATTGTTTCAGATTTTTAAATAATCAGTTTCACACTGATACATTAAATGTTTTACTTTCTTTGGTTATTATTTCACAGTTTAGAACCTACATTCCACTTTTCAATGGCTTGTTTCACAAAAAAATATATATTTCAATTGCACTTTCTCAAATAACCTATTTCACTCTTTTGAAATAAATTGTTTCACATTTTCAAATAATCAGTTGCACCTTGATACATTACAATTTTATTTTTTGTGGTTACTATTTCACAATTTAGAACGGATATTTCCCTTTTCACTGCCTTGTTAAAAAAATATCGATCTCATTTGCACATTTCTCAAAGATTCTATTTCACTCTTTTAAAATAAATTGTTTCATATTTTCAATAATCAGTCCCACATTGATACATTATAAATTCACTTTTGTGGTTACTATTTCACAATTCAAAACCTATGTTTCACTTTTCACTGGCATGTTTCACAAAAAACATCCATTTCAATGAAATAGTTTTCTTCCACATAGAATGAAACATTGAAATTTAAATCTGTTCGAAATGTATCCAAGATTGGTCTAGTTCTAAAGGCCTTGCCGCCATCAAATATATAAATTATTTCAAAAACAAACTTATGGTTTAAAAGATATGAATGTTTTTAATTGGCTAAGATGAAATAAAGTTCATGGATTTATTTGCAGGAGAGAGAGAGAGAGGAGATCGTATGCATGTGTGTCCTTGTCTCACAAAAAGTAGTACTCCGGAACCGTTAGACTGACAAAAGTAGTATTATGGATGCTTGGTGGGATCCACTAGATGTATTTGGTCCGGTATAATTTTTGTATAGCAGAATAATGGAATCAAATAGTGATAACCGCACTGATCTTGATGCACATGTGAATGGCAGATGTGTTACTGATACGTAATAGCATCTCTGGCAGACCCCGCAAAAGGCCGGCCTACAAAACTTGTTTAAGGGCGCCCGCAAAACTTTTTTTAGGGTACCGCAAGCGCTCTGGCTGAACATATCCCAGAAAACCATTTGCGGGACACGTTTACGGGATCTGTTCCGCGCAGGAGGGCTCGCGGTGCTGCAGTTAAAATCATGGATAGATTGACAAGTTCATCATCACTAGTTCATATTTAGTTCATCTTCATATATGCATATACATCACTAGTTCATCATCATACTAGTTCATCACATCCAAAATCATGCGCAACATACGAGGTATCAAGTTTAGCCTTACAAATACGCAATCAAATAATACAAAAGATGCTCAAATAACATAGAGAAATTAAGCAACATCCTCATCGCTGCGAAGAATGTCGCCACCAACACCGCCCCTAGCACTTCCATCGCCATCATCCACATTGACCGGAGAGTGAGCACCACCATCTTCACGAACTAGGACCGGAGAGTGAGCACCAGGATCTTCACGAACTTGGAACGGAGAGTGAGCACCAGCATCTTCACGATATTGAACCGGAGAATGAGCACTGCCACCACCAACATTCACATGGCTTGTCGAAGCACCACCACCCATGTCAAAGCCGCCACCACCACCACCATTCACATGGCTTACCGAAGCGCCACCATCCATGCCGAAGCCACCACCACCATCACCACCACCCATGCTGAAGCCACCACCACCGAAGCATAGATCAAACAAGTGTTCTGGACTGCCGAAGACCAAACAAGTGCTCCGAACGTCCAAAGCATAGATCACTAGAGCAAACCAAGCAAAAGAGAAAATTTATACCTTGTTGGGGATATAACTCCAAGATGTGACCCGCCCATGAGGGTCCGTATTATACCGTTGGCGGTTCAATATGAAGAAGCCCAAAGAGTCCCAAGTTGTAAAGGTGGCGGTTCATGGAGGCACACCTGGAGAGGGCCCAAGACCGGGGCCTAAGAGCCCTTATGTGATAACTTGTCTTGTAAGGCAAGGATTAGTTAGAAACCGAGCCGACCACGGTGTGTGAGCCAGTCGGGACTCTGTAAGTCGCCAGGTCCCAACCTGTGTATATAAAGGTGAGACCCGGTGGCGGGTTAACTCAAGAAACAAGCAATCGAGAACTAGGTCAAGCGTATTCGTTCCCTTGTAATCAACTCGAGCAATACAACTAGAAGCAGGACGTATGCTTTTACCTTGATTGTGAGGGGCCGACCCTAGGTAAACTCCTTGTGTCCTTTGTCCCATTCAACCCCTTCAAGCTAACCTAGTTGCGATGGCTCCACACCTAAGTCCTTTCACTAGGACATCTGTCGTGACAAAACCACGACAGTTGGCGCTGATAACCCACAAGTATAGGGGATCAGTTGTAGCCTCTTTTGATAAGTAGGAGCGTCGAACCCAACGAGGAGCTAAAGGTAGAACAAATATTCCCTCAAGTTCTATCAACCATCGATACAAATCTACGCACGCTTAACGTTCGCTTTATCTAGAACAAGTACGGAACTAGAAGTACTTTGTAGGTGTTGTTGGATAGGTTTGCAAGATAATCAAGAGCGCGTAAATAAATAGTAGGGGATGTTTAGATAAAGGCACAACTAAGTTAGTTTTAGTAGAGAGCTTTTTGTCACGAGAAAGTTATTTGTCCCTAGGCAATCGATAACTAGACCGGTAATCACTATTGCAATTTTATATGAGGGAGAGGCATATGCTAACATACTTTCTCTTCTTGGATCATATGCACTTATGATTGGAACTCTAGCTAGCATCCACAACTACTAAAGATCATTAATGTAAAACCCAACCATAGCATTAAAGTATCAAGTCCTCTTTACTCCCATACACAAACAACCTACTTACTCGGGCCTGTGCTTCTGTCACTCACGCCACCCACCATAAGAAAATCATGAACATATTGCAACCCTACAGCGGGGGATCCCTCATGCTTGTGCGACACGGAGAGCATCATAGGACAACACCAATAATAAAACATGCAATTCAAACCAATCATGATCATTAATGAACCCATAGGACAAAACGAATCTACTCAAACATCATAGGATAGCCATACATCATTGGGAAATAATATATAGCATTGAGCACCATGTTCAAGTAGAGATTACAGCAGGGAGAAGAGGTGTTACACTAGTGCATAGAGGGGGGAGAGTTGGTGATGATGGCGGTGAAGTTGTTCGTGTAGATCTCCGTCATGATGATGGCCCCGGCGGCGTTCTGGCGCCACCGGGGGAGAGGGGGAGAGAGCCCACCTTCTTCTTCTTCTTCTTCCTTGACCTCCCCCCTAGATGGGAGAAGGGTTTCCCCTCTAGTCCATGGCCTCCATGGTGGCGGAGGGGCGAGAGCCCCTCCGAGATTGGATCTCTCTCTGTTTCCTACTGTTTCTGCGCTCCCTGATTCTGCCCTTTCACCGTTTCTTAAATTCTCAGAGATCCGTAACTCCGATTGGGCTGTACTTTGGACACGATTTTTTATCCGGATATTGTCTTTCTTGCAGAGAAAGAAGGGCACCAACCGCCTTATGGAGTGGCCACGAGGGTCAGGGGCGCGCCCTACCCCCTATGGCGCACCCCCTGCCTCGTGGACTCCTCGGGCATCGTCTCGCGTTGATTCTTTTTTCCAAAAATCACATATATTCCAAAAAAATCTCTGAAAGTTTTTATCGCGTTTGGACTCTGTTTGATATGGATTTTCTGCGAAACAAAAAACATACAACAAACAGGAACTGGCACTGGGCACTGGATCAATATGTCACTACTAGGGAAAACTTTATACATAGAAACTTACCAGTAGCGCGGGATAAAAAGAAGCGCTACTGCAATTTACCACTGGCGCATGTGAAATAAATGCGCTGCAGATAAGTTTGTAGCAGTAGCGCGTCTCGCGAAAGAAGCGCTACTACTACAATTCCCCTACTG